GAGACACAGCAGAGGGGGGGGGGGGGGGGGGGGGGGGGGGGGTCTCAGGGACTTTCTCAGTGGGTGAAAAAGCTTCAGAGAAGTGAGTATTGGGAAGAGCAAGGTGGGATTTTGATCTGGAAATGGCAATGAGGCATTATCATGTGTCTTGTTCCTATTAATACTTCATCACACGCATTTCCTCTGTGATAATGTAACAGCAGGTCTCAGGTTATAGGTCTAGGGAGTCTTTGGCTTAGAGCTTACCTAAGTTTTCCCAACTGTGGCAGGAGCATCTGTAGAAAAGACTTCTTGGAGAATTGTTGTATAGGTGAAGGAAAAGGCATACTTAAAAATAAAAGTTTCAACTGGAAGAATTTTTTCGGGAAGCTATGTAGGTATAACTACATCCAGTTTCACAGACTTTTAGCCATTCAAAACATGTTTTGAGAATGAGAGGTTTAAAAATGTAAACAATCATAGGCCCAGCAAAGGAAAATTTTCCTTTCCACTATTATAGATGCACTATCTTTCTACAGCTGCACTAACGGTGTAAGACAGCTAAAAGGTCAAAAAGAAAAGTACGTTTGTAACATGTAGTTTCAAAATGCACTTAGCTTGTTGTTCTTTCCCTCACGCTGACAGCCAACATGTGAAATTCTGACTTGGGAAAATGTTTCAGATTCCTTAAACAAACTACAGTATACTTTAACCTGGGGGAAGGGACAGGCAAAGGGGCAACTGAGGCATGGATATTTGCTAGGAGCAATAGCGATCCACTGCTGGGGACCTCTTGCATTCCTGTCAGCATTTGCAAGCCCTTTGTTCTGCAAAGCAATTTGCTGTCTCTAAGAGATAAATCAGCAAAACCAAACTCACACAGAGCGAGTGAGTGGCTACAAAGATGATTACACACAGTCAGAAGTTGGAAAGCTCAGGGAGTTTTTTTTTTGTTGTTGTTGTTTTTTTTATTTTCAAGTGTATTTTCTAGATTTCACCCAAATGCCTAGCAACATTTTGATCTGACTTAAAACAGTGCAAACCTTAACCAGGGATCATCTGTTTAAAAACTTTTTGGGAGATCTTTGTTGTTCTGCATTGTGGGTGTTCATGGACTGGAGTGTGCAGGAAAATAAAGTTAAAAGCACAGGATCCTGATCTTGTTTAATGTTGTGCAAATTTTTGGATCACACAAATGTCTACAGAGAGATTTCTGGAACAGTGACACAGTATGGAAATAAAAACCAACACTAGAAAAGACTTGGCAAAAGTGTATGTGTTGTCAGCTCGGGACCTGAAAACCGTGAGGAGCTTTTACTCTTTGCTGGGCTCTGGAAAAGAGATAATGTTATAGTCGCACTGTGTGAGACTCATGGGAAGACAGCTCATTTTAGGGTCCCCACTACTGCTGTAGTGAGCAAGGCCAAATACAATGGCATTTATGAGAAATTCCAGCAGGTAAGTTAAAAAAAATAGACTTTAGGGGTTAAATTTTGTGTTATAATGATGTAGCCTCAGGGAAAGCAAGTTCTTGGCTCATCAGATGGTTTGTATGTGTTCAGACATTTATATTTATTTTTTGGGGGATGAACTAAAAGGTAATCAATAATTTACAACTGTTGAGATGGTCAGAACATAGTACCAGAGTCTCTGGAGAGTTTGGAGCAGGGTAGATTTTCTCATGCTTTCCTGCAACACGCTGAGGTCAAAGTTCATCAACACCTCTCTCTTCTCTGTTAACATTGATGTCGAACATCATATACTGTAAAGCAGTTAGCACGAAGGCAACGGTGCCTGTTCACACGGACTTTTCAAGACAGCACACACAGAGCAATTGTGCAGTTTGAGGATACAGGAACAAGAACTCATACACACAGTAGCAGGAAAAGCAGTTTTTTAAAGAAAACTTTGTGGGCTGGGAAGTCAGACTTTGGCCCTTCTTTGTCAATGGACAATACCCAAATGGCTCCGGCCTGGGTATCACACCTCTTTCTAAACTACTGCACAGGAACAACCAGAGACACAATGATTAGTGCATCACAAGAGCAGACAGGAAACTGTTAGAAGTAGATGGTGACGACCAGAAACTACAATGACCTTGAAAAATGTGCACTTGATACAAGGTCTGTTAGGTGTGTACCCCAGAAAAGAATGGTAGTGTTAGAAGCATGGGGCCTCATCTAAGTGGCCTTGTGAGAGTTTGCCCTAAGATTGAATAAGAATCATAATAATACAAAAAGTCTAGGTCTTGAAGTTTGTTCAAAATTCCCCAAGAAAATCACTGAGCTCCATCTCACTAGAGCTATCAGGTTTCATGTGGTACTTAATATAGTTGTTGCTTGAATGTTGTGGGTTGGCTATGTATGATCTGGATGGAATCCGTGTGGGAGGATTCACAGTCCATCCATCTCCACCATTCACTGGATATAGGAATCCAAGCTACAATGTCCTGGCCAGCACTTAAACACAATGGTCTCTTCTAGGTTCCATGTCAAAGCTGTGATGTGACCATGCTCAGTGGGTTTTCTGAATGGTCAGCAATTTAGTGGTGTTGAGGATGGACAGGTCTACTAAAGCTTAATCTTGGGGAAGGCTATTCTTTCTTATAGAAAAAAAGAAGTCTGCCTAATTTCTAGTAACAAAATCTTTTTAAAGGAACTATCACAACAGAAGAAATTTTAAATTACAATAGGTAAAGAGATCACATCCTCAGAAAAAAGCAAACAGAAGGAAACTCACCCCCTAGTGGGGACTGTATGATGAACCACAGGGGCACCATTCTGATATATTTTGCATGACCAAGGTCTCATGATGTCAGGGTTGAGACCTGTCATAAATGCCAGAATATTTACTTTAGAAGATTACTGCTTCAAGGAATTCTATAAATGTATTTTAAGGAGCAGAGAGTGGCGGGCCTCTTTTAAAATTGGTTTTGTCTTATGCTCAGTGCAAAATATTTGTACAAAAATATAAAAGGCATGGCTTGATGTTTAACGTCTGTGTTTTATTTTGTTTTGTTGGCACCAGAAAAAGCTCATGTTATGTTATGTCACTGTACATACTGTAAACAAGACGGCATTAATATGTTTTCTTATGATTTTTTGTTCCAATGAATCTAGATTTTAAAAAATACATTCACAAACTACCTTATGTTTAAACACAATGATTCCCTTTTATTTCTTAACTGTACCCAAAGTCCCACAATAAAAAATCATTTAAAGCTGTGTGTTTTGGATGTATCACTTAGAAATAAGAATGAAACAAAACAAAACATAAAAACAAAGATCAGTTTGCAACATAATTTAAAGAAGCCTCTGGTTCAAACTGTCACAGCAGCAATATAAAGAGCTGGTGGCAATCACATTTGGAGACAAGATCTGTTATTTTTGTCCACATCAGCATCCAATTCCAGTAGTTGCTGAATTTTTCCCACGGAATTTGAGAAGACAGTGTCGTTCAGCAGCATAACCCCAGCAGTAAAAATGAGAACGGGAGGATTTCATTGCTTTTGAGAACTAGAGGGACCATGATGGGCATATCTGGTGGTCACCTGAAGACCACCCTTCATTACATTCCTGGTGTCACCTGCTTTAGATAACTGCAAATGACCATCACCCTTGGGGAGAACACAATAGGCTATAGTTCAGAACTCGGAATATTTCCCTTTCTCATCCCCTTTGGCCAAACCATTTTCCTAGCATGTGTTTCGTTCTCATTAATAGTACATTAGCTGCTCATTTGTTTAGGCAAAATCAGTAGGATCACAATTTTTGTTTTTCTTTTTTGATCCATTTACAGTAATTGCATTCTTAAAACCAAACCTCATTAGGTTTTTGTCATTGAAGATTTTTTTCTCCCTCCAATTTTTAAAGAACAATTTGGTGAACTATTATTTTGAAAATATTCAATAGAGCTGAGATTGCCCAATTGAGCTCTCTATATGTCTCCTGGAGATAACACTGCTGTGATGAACAGAGAAACAAAAACAAACAAAACGAGGTAGGTTAAAACAGGAAGCACAGCACAGATACCATTTTGCAACACCTGGATACCATAGGCGGCCATGCTTACAGCTATGGGAAACATCCCAGCCAGTCACATAAAGGTTCAAATCATCCAAATAAGCGTTTTACAGACACAAGTCAACCTGAACTAAATACACACACACCTCTGCACAGATGTTGTTAACAGTATGTTGGGAAGTTTGGAGGAACATAACATGAATAGGTTCTCAGAATTTTGGCCAAAGCCTTGCCTTCAGGTTCCCTAAGACCTGAGCTGTTGGAGCCTGCAGTGTCTGTGCAGGCTCAGGAGTCTAGTCCCTTGACTCAGTGAGGACACAGCAGCTCAGAAGTATTTCTTAGTGATTCTTCTTTGTTTGTCACAGTTTAAAATCTTGATAAAGTGGCACCCTTGGGCTGGCATTCCAGAGCATGGTTGTCATATAACCTCAGCTCCAGGAAAGGTCTCAACCAGTCTCAATCCTAACAAACCCAAATGAAGGGACCTCTTAGCAGGGAGGCTTTGTGCCTTGAAGAAAGAATGCGTGTGTATTTACATAGACATATTAGTTCATTTCTCATAAGCTCCTTCTGGGTGACCCACCTGTCATCCCATGTTTTGCCCTGATCTGTTGCATAATAATCGAGGGACAGTGGCATCCCAGAGTCCCTCCCCAATCACAAGCCCACTCAACTCAATGGCATCTCTGTCCCACTCAACACCCTCCATTCTAGAAAGGGCCATATCAAACTACGGCCTGTCAGACTCACAAAAGTGGTAGTTGATTTTATTAGATTAAGGCTAGTAGTTTAGCCATTTAAAATCTATTTCCCCAGAGAGGAGAAAGCTATTCCGCTTCTCTTTCAAAAATTCATTAGCCAGTAGCAATTAAAAAGAAAAAAAAAATAACAAAACAGCCTGTTGGGTTGGTGAAGGCAAGAGAGTTCTTAAATTACCCGACAATGTGGGTATAGCCTTCAGTGCAGGAAGATAAGGTACATTTATTGTGCTGTCTCTCACTACTGGGAGTTGGAATTTTTACAACATACCATATACTTAAAGCTAGCAGGCAGACAGAATTAAAAAAGACTAATTTCCCAGTATGTATCCTTTCCCCATCCTTACAAAATAAGGGGGTAAAGAAAAAAAAAGTTAAAAAAGAAACCCAAACCAAAAGAACTGAAAAGCCAGCATGAACACAGCTTAATCATAAAAGCACACAATATTTGTTTCTATCCCTAACTCCAAAGGGCACAAGGTCCAACTCTGTCCACAGACAATGCAGCATCCTCGGGATGTCACAGACATTGCTGCCACCTCTTTCTCTCCTTCTCAACCAGGCTGCAACACTGAAAGAGGGGCTATTGGGAGGGACAGAGGGAAAGGAAGCGGGGAAAGAAGGCAGGGTGTTCAAGCAGGCCTTCCGGTTCTGCCTCTAGACTGGCATACGTCCACACGAGTTATGTTCTCTTACATTAGAAATTACGCCATGAAGATAAGTGCCAAGTGCTCTTCTGTCACCAGTTCATCATGGAATTTCTGTTGAGGGTCATGAAAAACACTTGGCTACTTCCTCCAGATCGCACGGATGCAAAAAAGACCTGTTTGGAATTAAAAACAAATTAGTTCAACTTCACGGGTTGTTTTCCCCCTTCTCTTCTTCAATTGTCCAGCCATTTTCTCTCACATGTCCTCTCCTTGCCACACATCAGTTAAGCTTCTGTGGCCTGTATTTATAGTGACTTTTGAGACAGTGCACTGTATGGAATCACTCCTGCCATTATGTTTTCTAACATTATTATTTATTGCTAGACTTCTGGCCTGGGACAATGATGATTTCTACAAAGGTACAGGGACAATCTTTCTCTTCCTTGCAAGTGATATGGACGCAGATGAAAGAGAATCCCTTTAAATTCCCAAAGTTATGGGCAAAATTTGGGAGCCTACTGACAGTTGTACAACTTCAGTGTTGGATTTTTAGACTTAAAAACAAAGACATTAGAGTGGCTATGCTTGACTAGGCTAAGGTGTAGAATGCCTATCAAGTCTGGTGCTTCAGGGTTGGCACTTGGCCTCTATGCTGATGCTGGCAGATCCTAAGCTGAAGGAGATAATGGCATTAATAAGCAGAACCACCGTCCATTAGGTCTCAGCCAGTTTAATCATTTTGTCAAAGGCCTGGGAGAAGTAAGCAGATTTCTATTACTGCTTGTTTGAGCTGAACATCAATGAACCACTGCCCCAGGAAAATAATATTTGGGGCTGTGCAATAGCCCTTCAGTCAGCCAGTGTCTGTGGTCTGAGGAATGTGTGTGTGTGTCACTAGTGCTAATTGTTCCCATGGCTCCTTAAGAAGCTTATGGAATTACCTAATGCTACAGAGGAAAGTACAGCTACTCTAAGGGGTCAGAGAGTCGAATTGGGGAGGATAGTGAGGATTTGCTGAGAAGAAAGGGTTGCTGTTGTCCCCAGCTGTGGGTTCAGGGACTAAACTATAGGCTCCAGCCTGAGAACATGGGCTGGCCCAGGCCTGCTGGGGTACGTCATCAAGAACTACAGTGTAGTTGTCCACACCCAGACATTTCAGGTCTTAGGTTCTAGACCCGTGAAAGTGTTGAGTTTTACTTGTTAAGTCTGGTGTGTGACATGGTCTGTCAAGTCCCCTGGTAACCATCCTTGTCTCCCACAGCCTCTGTTCACTAGACCACACTAGGTCAGAAGCAGTTAGCCAGGATGAAGGAATCCAGACCGATATTATCAGGGTTGGATGAAGACCAACCTGGCCTCTGGGGAACTGGGGTGAACAAAGAGATGTAAACAGTTCAACCCATCACGTTCCTTCCTACGGGCCTTCATATCTGCTGCTTTGGGGACACGGTTGTTAGGCTGACTCATCTCAGAGGATACAAATATAGATTAGCTACAGAGAGGGTGAGGTAGAGCATGACCACTTCAGCATACTCCTGTGGGGTGGCTGATCATGTTGGAAAGACATGGTCACTTGCATTAGAACGTAGCCCCCCACCCCCACCCCGTGTGACAGGAGACACATGGCTGGAATGAGACAGGACATGGCAAGATTTGAGTTTGTGACTACATTTCTTAGGAATGAGTAACATTTTTAGAAGTTCATATTTGTACATGTTAGATGTTTTACACTTAAGCGAGAATATATTATGAAAGCTAAGTCCCAGTAGTGTCTCCGTGAAAGGCCTAAAGTGAAAACAATAAGGCTGAACAGCTGTGAGATGATTAATGATGAGCTAGCTATTCTAAGTGCATAGGAGGATCTGCAATGATTGTTAAATCACCAGAAGGCCCACGGGCCACAAACGTTACTAAGAGTTTACAAGAAAGTTTTAGATGTTTTATGTTAGTTTGGATGCATGAGTCATAGATTCTGAATGTTCACATGAATCAAACCAAGTGATGCCATTTCAAGATAGTTATTGATCACTTAACATAGATGTGACTCATTAGTATAAAGGAAAATGAAGGTTTCACAGGTACCTGGTGGTCTCTTAAAATGCAAACACTAAAGCAAAGTTGAAACGGATTTACCTTATCATTTCTTTCACATAGAAACTTTAACCTTTGAGCTCGCTTATGCATAAATACTCCATCCAAATGTCCTGTTTCCACTGACCGGATCTCAATAGCTTTCTCGCCCCAGCCCATTATCTGATTGGAATGAATGTAGGCTGTCAAAAGGAATTTCCAAAACTGCATTAAAAACATTAGATGGGCAACAACTCACAGCATCTGTTCACATTTTAACCACAAAAAAAGGACAAAGGACTTGAGATTAAACAGACAAAGCAAGTCTTACAGTGTTAGTCACAGATTTTTTTTTTTTTTTTTTTTTTTTTTTTTTTTTTTTTTTTTTGTTTTTTTTTGTGGACTCAAATGGTTGTTTCACATTTCTTGACTTTTGTTTCATTTGGGGGGTGTAACTGCTGAAGGAGATAAGGAATGGTTAACCTACCCACAGATGTGGGCATTTCTCCCCACTGGAGAACCACGTCCTTGGTGATCCGGCCATAGGTGTTCACATACACCCCCTCATCCTCATAGCAGACGAGCATTTCCATTCCATCCGTTTTGGGCAAGATGACAATAGCATGGGGAGTGATATTGCCCTGAATCTAGAAGACAAAGAAAGGCCAAGAATCACTCTACTTAAAAATCAAGAAAACCTCTTGACTTTTATTTTTAAGAATTGTAATGAAATTTTATGTCATTTTTATGGTAGAACCTGAAATCTACTTTAATTTAGTCACTTCTCTTGTCAAATGCACTGGTATACACAAACATAGTTACTTGATCCAGAATCCATCTTACCTGTTCTTAAGAAGAGTAACCCTGAGTGTATGGAGTACTAGTGTGCTATTCAATGGACCACTTGTATTCATAGTTTAGACCTCAGACAAGTTCACCATCATAGAAAGCTTTGTTGCAGACGAGGGAGCTGCATCTTAGGGTTACATGACTTGACCAAAGCTACATGAGTATCTGGTGGTAGAAGTAGGCTCTGAGCACATTTTTCTGACACCGAAATTCGTGGGTTCCCGCTAGAATGACGTAAGAATGCCAGATTCCTACAAGAAGGCCATGGGTATAGTACCCAGAATCTTCTCCTGGGAGCTCTAATACCAGCATGTTCTAAATTAGTGATTTCTTTGGGGGAAAAAAGGTAGAATTACCCTACTACTGGACACACTGCTGACATAAGCATTGGACTGACTGGTTCTATGGAAAGGGAGGTGCCACTACTATTCCTGGTTGACAATGCCAACATCATTCCAGCATGTGATTGACAGGGCTTTGGGGGATTGAAGAAAATCACAGTGGTGACCAAGTCTCAGCTGTGATGTAGACATGCAAGTAAAAAACCATAAAATGCAACAATGGGTGGCAACTGCATATGTGTAAATGCATCAAAACACATGTGTAAGGACTGGGTTTCTTTAAAATCTCAAAATGCCAATCAGCTGTGGATTAGCCTCAGACTATCCTGAGAGTTATTAGCCTTGGAATTCACGAAACATTGCTTACACCACACAGGCTCTCATGTGTGTATCTATGTAGCATTTCCCTTAAGGGTAATGTTTTATGCGATGAGTCAGAATAGTGATTTTAATATCATATTGTTCATAAGAGGAACTTGAATATGTTAGGCCCTGAGCCAATTTAGTAATAATGGGGTAATATCTCTACAGAATAGGTACTTGGAGTCCCATCTTACAGCTGGGAAAGCTGAAGGTTGGAGAAGTTGCCTAGCATGTCCACTATTGCCAGGTTCACACATGCTAGGAATGGTATGAGGCCTAGTATATTTGCTGCACCACACCACATTGCTCCCAGGCTGATGAGAAAAACTGGAAAAAGCAAAAAGAAAAATTTCCAAGAATTTAATATCTAGTCATTGTCTTTCTGTAGCATAGAATCAAAAACCGAAAATGGGAACTCAGCTACTGTATAATATGCATTTCAACTTGAAATTCAAAAAAACAAGATGGTATCTTCAGAATAATAGAATTTTTTGTGCTACTTCGCTTGAGGGAATAATAAAACCTTTAGGAACATCCTGTCTACTCAGTGATACCCAAAGTTCACAACTTTTACAGATTAGCATGATTTCAAGCAGAAAAAAAGGTGCAACCTAATCTCTCTACATGCAAGCTGTCATGCAGATGCAGGAGACAGTCCCATTCCCGAAACTTACATGGGATGGTATGTAGATATCATAGGAGTTTCCAGAATCAACATCAATTACATGGAAACCAGTGTGTGAGCCAAAAATGACCTTTAACCTTTGACCTTCTTCTACTGTTAGGTCAACAAGCAGAGGCTTATGCTGAAGATCTGCAAAAGACTTTAAAAATCAACTCATTAGTATCCATGCCATTAAAAGAGGTTGTCTTATTCCTAAGAGTTTCACTTGGCCACTGTCAGAAGGAAGTATTTTTTTTTCTTTTTTTCCATTGAAAGCTAGGAAAACATCTCCTTCAGGTTTAGGTCTATTCATATTTGACTCCACGAGGAAAGCTGTATTGTCTATTTTTTGTTCCCCTCTTTTCCTTTCTTGTCTTGCACAGTAAAAGCAGTTTACAACTGTCAATTTTGATAGTGGCATTGTGTGTTAAAGCTTGGTGACTGGATGCTGCTGCTCTTTCCTGTATATTTCTGACCTTTGTCCTCTAGAGAGTGTATCTCTATGGCCCCCCTTTTCCCATGTGGTACCCAGGTTCATCTATGGTTGAGACCTTCAAGAACAGGCTGGGAGCATCATTGTGTGAAATTTGTTGGAGATTAGTGGGCACAGACTGGCTATGATTTTCCTATTGTGATTGTCAGTTACTCTAAACTTTGTACCGTATTCGGAGAGTTATGTTTGAAGGGTGAGAAAGGGAGATGTTGAAGACATATCACAATACTCATGGCTTGTCTTGTCTTCAAGGATTTTACTGGAAAGCAAAAGCTCTAGATAAGCTTATCAATGGATCCAGGCCCTAAGCTCCATAGCTGTGAAGAGGTCAAAGGGGCCCATATCAAGCTGGTGAAACCACAGAAACAGCTGACCTGAACAAGGGAGAGCTCTTGGTCTCCAGACTGATAGCTGGGAAACCAGCATGGGACTGATCCAGTCCCCATGAACATGGGTGTCAGCGAGGAGACCTCTGAAATCTATGGGGCCCCCTTGTAGTGGATCGGTACTTATCCCTAGCATAGGAATGGACTTTGGGAGCTCATCTCACATGGAGGGATAATCTCTGAGCCTAGACACATGGGGGTGGGCCTAGGCCCTATCCAAAAGGATATGACAGACTCTGAAGACCCTCTATGGAAGGCTTCACCTCCCTGGGAAGCAGAAAGGGTATGTGATAGGTAGGGTGTTAGTTGGGGGGGGGCAGGAGGGAAGAGGAGGAAGTGGGAACTGGGATTGACAATCTTGTTTCTAATTAAAATTAAAAAATTAAAAAAGGAGAGTTCCAGTCTCTACCTTTGCCATGATTCTGTACTTTTCTCAGATACTGAGCTCTAGGGGGAAGACTGAAGAAATCACATCTGCTGTTAAATATTGTTCCCTCCACATCTATTATTGTAATTCTCACAGCACAGGGGGAAACTAACACCTTTTGTCCTTGTCCTAGGAGGAGGTTCTACCTCTGGTTTATGACAGTTTTTCCCATTCAAGGCTTTGCCTCTGTGCTTCCTCTTCTAGGTTGGGTTTGATCTGCTGAGGGGAGTGTTTTGTTCTGTCATGGGCTGTGACCAGGACCCTGAGGGCTGTGACTTGAGTAGGAAGGGGAAGGGGATCTTGAGTGAAAAGCTTTCCTGGAGAGATATTTTGGCAGCAAAGTAGCACCACATTAGCTTTGGGAGCCAGCCTTTCACTGCTATTATGAACAAAATGTAACCCCAAAATTTCTTGCAGCAAAGTGGGCCTATGGAGGAAAGTCCACTTCTGTTGATGAATCTGTCATCCACAGCACATCACAAAATGGCATTTTAACTAAAAGAACAAGATGGGAGTGGAGTGATTGTTCTCTGAGAAAAATCCCAGGGCATATTTGGTCTTTACTTACAAAAAGTGGCAAAAAAAGAATAAATACAAACCCAAAATCCAATTACAGTCACAAAGGTAGTTGAACCTTGGGGACCCAAACTATTTGTATAAAGACCAAAACAAGTTAAACAAATGCAAGGACAATCAGCATGGAAATGTAGAAGAATGAGGTCTTCTCGGTGAGTGACTGCCTTCAGCAGCCACTCCAGAGACATCCTCATGAGATAGGAATAAACAAAGAATCATCAATCTTAGTTTATTCAGAAATGTCAGTGATGATTACCAGATCTAGAGACACAGTGCTGCCACAGATCTTTTTCAGGCAAAACACAAGACAGTTTTTGACTTTCAGTGGCTCTACAGCAGACATGGTTGTGTAATGCTGTGTTTGGTACTTTTCCTGGTAACTGTTCCAAACTAAATTCCTCTTGAAGTCAACAGTTCATAGACTTCCAATGAAGGAGGACAATCACAGGTTTTAATGCGATAAACTGTAGAGTATTTTTAATACTAAAGTATTTTGAAATAATAAATTCAAGGATTGTTTTTAAAACAAGTTTTTCTCTATATAATAAAACTGATATTGGCTTATGTGGAAAATAGAATTCTGGTGGAAACTGAAGTAAACAAGCAACATCTGGGCTTACCTTAAATGCCATGAACTTGTGGTAAGGTTTAGGGGCCCAAGCATATATCTCCACTGCATTCTTTAAGGCAATCACCAAGAACTTGATCCTCTCATATTTAACTGAAATGTAAAAGAAGAGAGTAAGAGTTTAGAAATGGCATCAATTTATCCAAGAATGTTTGTATTGATGAATGAAGACATTTGCCTGTCTACATGTCTTCACAGTGGAGGGTGCTATCCTTGGAATAGGCTGATTTTGATTTTTACACATAAATTTAACTTCCTTTAGTGTACCTGGTTGACCTATGCTAGAACTTTTTAGGTTTATATTAAAGGATTTTTCTTTATCTAAAGATGGGATAATTTCAGTTTAGACATGGATATTCACTTTCATAAGGACCTATGCCATTTTCTTATGTTAGTTTGCATGTCTTGTATGCTTACTTGAATGTAGTCATGGCAAGATGCTAGAACAATTAACAAATCTGCAGACACATAAGCTTATCATGTATTATTATTTGCTTGTTATTCATATTTGAATCCTAATGATTAAATGAAATAATTGCTTATATTACTATGAAAGATGAAATAATAGGAACTCTGGGTTCTGTCAGAAGCTCATTTTTAAGGGCTTCATGTACTTTGACAAATCCTTTTACTGTTTATGAAAATAAAATCTTATGGATCTTCACTTGGTGAAGTGACTGAATGTCTAATTCATTATTGCATCACATAAAATAGCACTCAACAAGTATGTACCAAGTGAATGAATGAATGACACAGTCTGCCATTTGAATTATTAGTTACTGTGGCCTACCAGTTTCTGATAACAAAATGACCAGTGTTTACCATGATGATCTTGAAGGAATATAGAATTCTTTAAAGCCTTTGACTTTTCACTGCTGAAGAGCAGTCTAACTCTTTAATCTACAAATGATACATATTCTAGCCAATTTTTATATAAAATATCTGTACAAAAACATCCTGTATCACAAGGAAGCTAGATAGGATAGATTTTTCATGTAGGTAGATGAAATGTTGAGTTTCTAGTTGGTTCCTTTATAATTTTCTATGATGTAGACTCCTTTTTTTTTTTTTTTTCAATGCTGGAGACTAACCCTAAGCCTTGTGTTAGGCAATTACTCTGCCACTGAGCTCCATTCACAGCCAACTTCTTACCTGAGACAAAGAAAAAGAGTCACAAAGACTGACACAGCTTCAAAAGAAAAATCATGTAAGTATATATAGGACAAAAGAAATGTTCTACAGGATACATATTGTTTTTCTGTGTTATTCCTATTTTATTGTTTATATAAAAGGTCACGTTTGTTAAGTGTATTATTCAAGTTATTAGCAGGTACTGTCATTCTTTCTGTTGTTGAGATTTCATAGGAATTTGAGTACACAGAACTAGTTACAATCATTACAAGATGCCATTGCTGTCTTGGCTGGAATCCCACAAGGAAAGCAAAGCAGAGAGAATCTGTGGTTCTTTGGATAAAAATATTCCTGATAATTAAGATGGTTATAGCGAGGTTCTTTGCATAACAAGGTTAAAAATATTCCTGATAATTAAGATGGTCTCAAATTTCTGATAAATATGGAGCAATTATTGCTCTCTAGTTACACCTTATTTTGTAGTTTTTAGTTGTAGGTCAGCACATGCAGGTCAGGGCAATAAAATGAGATAGCCTTGACTAGCAGGACCAAACTAGAAATGTTAGGAGATGTGCAGGTTAAACAGGACTCAGACAGCCTTGCATTTTGGAACACATTTTCCAGGTATAGCAAGACACAACATTCAGAAATGTTACTATCTTCTGCGATTAGTTTTATGGTTTTATAATTACACAGTCTTAGTTTGTGTAATGAAATCTGATCATTAAAATATTTGGGCTAGTAAAAGTCAAATAATAATAGCAAAATACTTCTATTTGAAGCAAATTCTACAGCTTTTTCAGAGCCATGTTTAGAAGCAATTCTAAATTTTTCCCACCATTGCACTTGAATTGACCTGCTTTTTTCTGCAAACAATCATGGATTTGCAATAAAGAAACACAGTCTTCAAGAGAGAAACACTTGCAGACAGGAAGCTGCCTGGTGGGAATGATGTGGGCTGCACGTCTGATTCTTTGCCACATAATAGGATTAAAGTAAGAGAAAATTGCAGTTTCAGAATATGACAAGAAAGGTCCAAGTCTGGTTTCCCAAACAAAAGCACCAGTGGAGCCTGAATGTCACCAGATTGCTATGGAAAAAATACTCCCTAAGGTGGTCTGGTTTGTGAATAGTACTGTGTCCATTCATCATCCCTTCCTTTGACAAAAACTGCTTAGCAGGTTTCCATGTGCCTGGCCTGTACTAGCTGCTGGGAATCAATACTGACAGGATGAGGCTGTGGGATGTATTTTACAGGTACCGAGTGTTTATGAACCTCATCTATAGCTCACTTCCTCATACCTTTATTTTTTTAAATAATTGCATATAAATAAGCCCACTGTATTATAAAGATTTCAAAGACTTCTACAGGGTAGAAAACACAAAGGGATGTTCCCTCACTTGGATCTTCTAGTCACTAGTCACTGTTCCCTAGTGTATAAGTTGGTCACTTAGAATGAACATGGTGGAAAGGGACATGGAGACTGTCCTAGAACAGGGCCCTCTCTAGCTGTCAAAAGATAATATACCAAGGTTCCAGGACAGGATAATATGAATAATTTGATTCTTGCTTTCTGAGTTCCTGTTTCCACTTTCAGTCATCAGTAATGTAACACATGTGGCTGGACCAACTCTAGAGGTTACCGTTTCAAACCTACATGGTGCTTTCCTGAGGACACTTTTGGAGCAATGTCTAAAGCCCCACTATCACACTTTTATTGTAATTTCTCAGGTTAAAAACAAAGCTAACATACCGTATGTATTTTACAAACCTGTAGAATTTCCTTATTCATTTCTGTTCTGAATTGACAAGTTTTATAGGTAAATAGTCTCAAAGCCACGTAGTCAGTCTCAGTGTCAAATATGGACAGTATCTACTGATTTCACAGCATGAAAAGAATCAGTTTCACAAATCTGTTTCCTTTTCCCTACAGCCCCCACTCATAGCTCTTACCCATATACCACTTCCTACCTCACACTCAGAATGTAAAATTTTCAAGTTTTGATTAAAGCCATCTGAAGAGTTCAAACTATTTATCTCCTCAGCTAAGGCATGTAGTACATTATGATGACTTATTTCTTTCTGGTCCTTTAGTTTTCTCACAGCCTTGCTTTCTGTCTTTCTAAGTAGATGTGAACTTTCTGCTAAGAAGTATCTTTCAGCACGATCAATCATGAGCTACTCATGTGTTTCAGTTTTTTCTTGGTGCCACGCCTCTGGAACTGGTCACTATCTTGCTCTGCAGGCCTGTGGCAAAGTGATCCTGGGTTCCTTTGGCCATCATTCTGGGTACCTCATTTACCTTCTTCCTCAATTACCAAATTTTAAGTTTTTATTTTAGTGAGATGTATCTTCCAGTAGCTTTCTCAGAGACTCTGCATGACATGGAATGTTCTGGAGATATGGTATACATACAAAAATGTCTTCCTTCAGCTCTTAAAACGGATGCAGTTTGATTGTATGATCATGTTCATATCATGTTCAAACATTTGGTCTGGTATTATTCTAGGTGTTTCTATAAGACTTTTTCTGATGAGAGTAATATTTGAATTAGTAGCCTGGGTAAAGCAGAGTGCATTGGACATCAGCTAATAACTTGACGATCTGAATAGAACAAATAGGCGGAGGCCTCCTGGTCCTCAGTCGAGACAGGAGTCTTTCTGCCTCCAAATCCAGATTGAACTGTTACTTCTTCTATGCTCCTGAGCCTGCTGGGCTTCTGCTTGGAACCCCACCCTCAATTCTTTGGGTCCCCAGGCTTTTGAACTTGGCTCTCCTGGGTCTCCAGGTTCCCAACTGAAACATTTTTGGAACTGACTTCTTAGTTCCTAAAGTTCTGAGAGTTAATTCCTGATAATGAGCCTCCACAGAGCTCTGTCTGCATTTCCATCTGTTTCTACACATGGGGGAGGGGTGTCAACTCTAACATCACCCATTTTATGTGTTACAATGTGAGTTGAAACAATTTTTTTTTTGAGATTGTTTCATGTATGGTAAGGACAAGGATGACTTTGAACTTCTGATCTTCCTGCTTCCACCTCTGAAGTGCTGGGGTTATACTACCACACCTGGTTTATCCATTACTAGGATAGGTTTGTGCATAGAAGAGACTGCGCTAAGTGAGCTGCACCCTAGCCCTCTAGGTAAAGATAACTTTGCCTTTGGATTTCTGAAGTCTTGTTGGCTCTGTTTTCTAAGGTTCTGGTATTCTAAGGTTCTGAACCCAGGACACACTTAATTCTGAGCCTATTTTACACAAGCTGTTTATTAATTTTCTTATAACCTGGGAATTTCAAGGACTTTCTCATTTCTTGTACACTTAAATACCATATTGGGGCAGCATATTTTGGAGCTTTGTTTTTGAGTAATTATATTGGGTTCTCAGAATCACTTTAATTTGGATGCCAAGGCCTGCCTCCTAGCAGTCATTCTCTACTATTTCTCTCCTATGTTTCTCCATCTCTTCTTACTATTTTCTCCCTATTTTCTTACTATTTTACTGAGTCATATTTTGAACCTCTTGGGTTGATCTTTTCTTTTCTTATATTTTCTCTTCTTTTTAAAATGATTAATTTTAATTCTATTGTTGTCATCTTTCTCTCTCTCTCTGCATGTGTGTGTGTGTGTGGGGGGGGGCTCATGTGCACTCACATAAGTGTGAACCAATGCCTGTGGAGGCCAGGGTGGTGTCAGATCCCTAGGATCTGGAATCACAGGTGGTTGTGATCTTCCTAATGTAGGTGCTAGGAACCAAACTCCATCCTCTTGAAGAGGAGTAAGTGCTCTTAACCCCTGAATCTTCTCTCCAGCACCCCCCCCCCATAGGGAGAGGGTGAAGTCCTTAGGGAATATGCACTATTCACATGGGAATGGCCATGTTCAAGACCCAAATGCTTCAGACTCATGGGAATAGCAACGCCTTCCTCAGGTCAGGCTCAGGGAAATTGCAAAACCTTCCCTGGTCCATTTGTGGATGTTGATAGTGTGTGCAGCATATGTAGACTGCTTCCTCTTTTGGGATGTTCATAGCCAAAGGCTGCTCCCCTACGGAGACTACAGAGAAACCTGACTCCTTGTTCGTCTGCACACATTAGCTCTGACTCTCCCTTTAGCTCTATACAATAAACTTGCTCCCTAGATTGAGATTATAGGAGATATATAAAGTGAACATGCTCAGTTTCCTGGATGTTAGTGATTCTCCATCACTAACGCACCAGATCAGCACCTTGTGTGTCTGTTGTTTCTGCATCCCCGTCACCCCGGTCAGGTCACCCCTAAAGCTGTGCAGGTCGAGGCAGATACTCTGCTTGTCTTAGTTCTACTTCATAGGCAGGTTCTTCATTCTCAACTTCAAACACTTATGTTATTTTTATTCTTGCTAAGATTTTTGTCTTTCATTGACCTCCCCAATTCTACCTCATCTTTAAAAACACTCCCGTTCTTTATATAGAAACACCCCCCTCAAATCTCTAGACATTTTCCTCTTTCCTGAATTTTCTCCCATGCCTCATCCTCCAATGTTCTTGTTCCTGTTTGTTCCTGCTTCTGCACATGAGATCTGTCTATTCTCTGGTTGAGGTAGGCCAATCAACTGCCAGCAGTAACTTTAGAGAAGGAAGGTAATCTAGTATCTGTACATTTAATTTTTACAAAGACAAAGTTTTCAAACTCCTTCTTGGGAGTATAACCACACTGCCAACATTTTGGTAACTATATGAGGAAGGCTTGTTTTTATGTGCGTGTGTAGGTGTACGTGTGTGCCCTCACAATTATTTTTACCATCACACTGGCTGTGCAAACTTCCCCCTTTGTTGTAGTGTTGGGGACAGTGACCTGCCTGTGGGGGAGGTACTGGGCTCTTAAGACGCTCAACTTCTCTGCTTTTCAGCAATCCTATTTTCAGCTCTGCTGTGTACCTCTATCCTGGGGTCTTCCCTGGGGTGTGGGTGTGTGGATAAGTTTGATAATGGTCTTCACTGTAGACTGAGAATGCAGAATCCTCAATCTACTCTGCCTGACCTGTGGTCACACAGCTACTCTTATCCAGTTTTATGGCCATTTCTTATTTGCTAGCATCTCTTTCTTTGATCCAATCAGTCTTGAGGGCTTATTGCATTTTAATTTTTTTATTGTCATCTTAGGGAACTTTGGGAGAAGCACATATAAATATTCAAACTGAAGCCTAGCATTTTATTCTAAATGCATTTTTGAGTTTCATTAATCTGACTTTTGGGAGAATAATTCAAGTACACTTTAGGGTTCAGCTACATTTTAACCTGGTGACACATACACCATCAACAGCAGAAAGAGAGCATTGAATACATTTAATCAAGCAATTGGGACTCTCATTTTCCCAAATTGACACTTACCAACTTTGTAATGTATACAGCCTTCCAAGTCCCCAACTGTGATCCAGCCCTGCTTCTTTTCCACTTCTGGGTCATTGTGCAGTATTCTGTTTCTTAGCCATGAAAGATAGTAAACACGGAGCTTATTCTTCTTTCCTGTTGAAATACAGAGTTTTAAATTCAAGCTCTGTGATGGCCTTCTCTCACCTTGTCTAGATTGCTCCTGGCATTTGTGTGTCTGTGAGGGCAGAATAACCAGTATGCCTGCTCTTCCTCACTGTTACTTCTGTCAGGACTTTTAACAACAGACCCTAGTGTTTTGGTCAAAATGCACTAACTGGGTTTTTACCTTTAAGCAATTTCTTATTTGAGGAAGCTGCTCTTATTCTTTCTTTCCAGGTCTGCTGAATTTGATAAGTTCCAGCTCTATAACAGAGTTCCAGAACATTCTAGAACTAATCTCATAAAGGAATGTTGACAAATGGGTATTTTAGTCTACCTATGTGGGTGTCTCTTTGAGTTTTCTCTTCCCTTTCTTTACCTACGCAGTCACATCAAAGACAATTGTTAAAAGTTTTTATTTAACTGATGAGACAAAGGAATTTAACAGAAGAAAGAGAAACAAATCCAGTAAAGCAATTTGAGTTTAGAGGATGATAGTGGACAAAGTTATGGTGTTGAGGTTACCAAAAAGAATATTAAATAAAAACATCAAAGAAGAAAAAAATGATATGGACTTGAAATTCAGAACACGGTTAAAAGTTCCCTCTCTCAGGATGATCAAACAAGAGCTAGATGGCCTGGAAGATTTATGGAGAGCAAAATGAATCCACCCAACTGGCTTATTTGAGTACTAGAGAGAAAAATGCACATTTCTATGACTTTTTCTTAATGAGAAATTTAGACTTGTGCTTTTTATTTCTCAGATATTTTCCATTGCCTTTAGAGAGGTTTTTATGGTGTAAAGATGGGATATGCACCAAGAAGAGCATTCATGAGAGCATCCCTCACTGATTTGACAGAGGACTGCAATAAGGCTTAAGCTGTGGGAAACACTGCACAGCTGTTATTTGTTTGTGTAAGCAGAAGCCCAGAGCCCAGGTGATCAGGATAGCTATAGTGAGCAGAACCAGTGCTCCATCTTCCGGTGCCATGAGGACCTGAGCAGTTCAAGAATCTCCCTTCTTGTTTTCATTGTCTCTTTTTTTCCCCCTTTGTGCTCCATGATGAGAAGAAATAGTTATACACAAAGGATGAAGACTTGTCACTAACAGCAAAATAGAGCCTGGCCTTGAATTTTCTGGTAGCTTTTCCACTTCGCATAGATGACAGATAGATGCATGATTTCAGTTTTGATTTGGGAGTGCAATAATCAAGAAAGCGATTAGCCAGAAACAACGACCACATAGAACTCAATTCAAATCACAGTATAGGAACAATTTACTTGGTTAGCCTTTATTTTCAACAGCAAAATTCTAAACACTCAGAGAAGTAGAGCAAAGAGGAAATGTGCCAAGAGACCACATTTTTCTCAAACCACAAGCACATCTAGAGTTAAACTTTCATCTTCAAGGTTCAACCCAGAAGCCCTATGTGGTCCTTGTTGCATAACAAAGACAAAGAATAGAGCTCATAAACTATGCTACATGATAAGTGTCAGAGCCATCAATACTGAATGCCTGCACCTTATCCCAGAGATTCTGACCCTGGTCTATGAGGAAGCTTGGCTTTTCATAGTTTCTAGGTGGTTCTAACTCATAAGTAATACTGTTGAGTCCATAGCTGATGAAATAAAAAGGGAGGAGGGTAATTCGTTCAACTCTTTCAAACACCACCAGGAAGAAATGAAGAACTTCTTATCAATAAATATAGACTCCAGTTATATTTTTCACTTGTTAGTAATGAGGCTTACTTCTCTAACAAGGTCTTTCCCCCATTTAAAAAACTATTGATGTGATTAAAATGTGCCTTTGAGGATGTCCCCACTCTATCCTCTTTCTAGAATTGGTTTCTCAGTAGTACAACTGTTCTTAAAACATCAGTGAATTACAAGCAGACATCTTGAGATAAAAGAGACTTTGCTTGCTGATCTCCACCCAGAAGCCTTCATTTTGATATTCTTCGTCTCAGAGTATGATGGTAACTGCAGTGCAAACAGCTTTATAAGATTCTTGCTGAGTTTTAAGGGAGGCAAAAGCCCAAATGCACAGCTTTTGTGATCAGATCTGCCTCAATCACGGTTAGAGACCAGGCAAGTCTTCCTGTGGAGGTCAGACCCTCCAGTGTTACAATACACATACTTTATCTCCTTCAGCTACAGCATTGTACATCTCTTGTGGTTTGCTGGGCAGGGCTTCTTCAGAGATCAGGATGTCACACTTTCCTACCAGGGCACATCTGGGGGTCAGGTCAGCCGAGTAACATACCTGATATCGTCACAAGGACATTTAGTCCTTCTAGCACATCCATCTGCTGGAACCGCCTCCGGTTGATCAGGTTGTAGACTTTGCCTTGGCCACTTCTGTCCAAAAGCATCAGGCCGTTTTCAGTTCCCACGAGAAGGTTTACACCTGGGAATTTAGGATGCACACAAGGACTGAGTCTTTGTGGGCCCTAACCAGTTTTACCTGGATCTCTATGAAGCCCAGAAAACTGTTTCATGCCAATGTAAACAAATGGGCAAGTAGGAGATATGGTAGACAGTGTAGAGGTAGAAGGTCCAGCTCACTAATTCTGTCACTGTTCCTCTAGTAACAGAACTACAATTTTATTTTTTAAAGTGGAAACAGTAGTACACCACCACAGCTATCTATTTACGGAGAGCACTTGCCAAGGGAGCCTTAGGGAGAGCTGTGTGAGTAAGCAAAATTGCTCATCTTGCCCCTTTATGGGGGGTCTCCTCTTCCTTGGTGCTCCCTGTAGGTGCAACTTCTTTCTTCCTAGGACCCCCACCCCCACCCCACCCTGCCATCACACACCTACTCATCCAGTGATTTCTGAGGCAGCTAACCTAGTCAGCTTCAAAATACAAGTTTCCAGTTCTGTACTGTCAGCATGGAAGCTTTTCCTCCTCCTCACACATACACTGGAGGTTCTGCTCGCAGTCAGGGAAACAATAAGCCAGGTAAGGAGAAGCTGAGTCATAGAAACCCTGTTTTAAAGACTTCTGTTACCTAATTCTACCCTAGGACCCTGTAAGCAGTTATCCTTATCTGGAAGCTGGCAGTTAAGTCATTTCATCTGGATGATTATAATCCTAAAATTTCATACCTAAAGAAATTAGTTATCTACTTACTAAGTTGTCCCTACATGGAGAGATTTCCTGTGCAGTAGATCCTGAACATCTCTTGGTGTATACATCTATCTTCTAAAAACATGAATATCACTTGTCAAGTCCTACCATGTTAAAAGTGGTTATTTTGTTGTCCAAATCTCATCTTCCTACTGCAGAGCCATTGTGCCTCACATGGAACAATTAATTCCTAGATTTCCATACTTGTCTCTGCTCACATGGCAAATGCCTTTAGCCTTATAAAATTATGATGTCCCAATCCAAGCCTAGCAACGGAGATGGGGTCAGTTGGACCACATCCTGATTTTCCTATGATGCCATGAGTAGTATAGGCCAAGACTTTGATAAAACATCCCCACACCTGTACTGAGTTTGAACCCAGCTAATAATATCTTCAGATCTACCAGATGAGAACTTCACACTGATGTTTTCAACTGAAAAGGGAAGGCTCATCATTGGCTGCTCTTTTCAAGTTTTCTCCAATTACTGTTGATTCTGAGGCTTTGGTAAGTCACTAAAATATGCTGGGCTTGTTTTTCAGCTGTGAAAAGAAGGTGGTGCCATTACAGTGCCTTGCAGGATACTACATGGATCATAGAGATAGGATGTCGGGTGCCACATATAGTGCTAGACACATAGTGGCTGAGTATTATTAAGTGGTGGCTGGTCCTGTGCTTGATATTTGCTCATCACTCCAAAGGCCATCTTGAGTAATTAATATATATATATATGTGTGTGTGTGTGTGTGTGTGTGTGTGTGTGTGTGTGAAACCTACTTTTGGTCACTCCCAAGGCAGTGCCATGTCAGTTCCCTCATACCTGAGACTGACTCTCCTAGTGCTTTCTGATGATAAAAGCCATAGACATTTTTTTTAAAAATACTTTTAGGTAAATTGAATAATGAGTGGAGAAAACAAACAAACAAACAAACAAACAAACAAACCGCCAACATACCCCACAGAGCTGCACAAAGTATTTCGGAATTGAAGCGTTTCTTGTATTTTCTGATTTCCGGCGTGTCACTATGAGGGCGGATGTTTGTTGGGTTCACATTCACCACGGAAATCTTTCTGGCTTCATTGAGTTTAGCTTGTTCTTGCCTAAGAAGTTCGCTAGTAAACAGGGCTTTGAGAGAAAGAATTAGAGAAGTCAATAGCATCCTAACAGCCAGCCAGTGGAAATATGAAAGGAGGGCTTGGCTTAGGGTGTGGCATAGTAAAGGCACAAGAACCATGGAACTATTTTATAATTGTTTTAGTAGGCTAAAGCATGGTTTTCACAGAGCAGTATTTTACTCATTAGCAAAACAGGCTTATAAACACGCCTTTGGGTGATGTAGAAAATTAATATTAATCTCACAGAGTCAAATTTGCCATTCCTGTAATTACAAACAAGAAACAGTGCCTTTTTAAGACTCCACATAAGCTGACTTCAATGATTAGTGAGTTGAAGAAGGCAAAGAAGCAAAGCCATCCACTTAGTTAGCCAGACCTGCAACCAAAGTGCACACCTGAAACTCAACACAGCTCAACATACATTTCTGGAGTGTTAAACACCACACTACTTCGAGCATAGCATTGTACCCAGAAACTGTTTTTGAGAAATATGTGGTAAGTTTGGAGATCGCTGTGGAGTGGCTTTTCCTAGTATCCTGGGATACCTCTGGGTTTCTTCCAGAAACATAATAGAAAAAAAGAATCAGGGTAGAGGGAGAAAGTGATTTGCTTCAGGAGTTCCACAAAGATATAGCGATAAATGGTGTAAATTGAGTTGGTGAGTCTTGTCACTGGGATGTACAGGACAGGAAACCTGTTTCTAAAACTACAGGGCCAGCTCACTTACCAGCCGCTGATGACTCGTCATCTTCTTCATCTTCATCAGTGGGCGATGTCTGGTACACTCTGGGATCCACAAAGGGTGTGAAGGAGGCTTTGGTGCTGCTTCCCATACCATACTGATCAAAAAGCAAGAAGGAGAACTCAGTGCTGCAGAACAGGTGGTGCTAGCTTTTCTTTGCTCAGACTCGACCCTGCCTACAGATTCCTCCACTGTTACCACTCTCTAGACAAAGCGTGGCCTCTGTGCAGTCTACTGTGTCCAGACACTATGTGTGTGCAAAGCTTCATTAGTGATCAGACTATAAGTGTTTCAGAAAGAAAATTACATTTGGATGACAGTTGGCCCCTTAATATCTGTACTTCTGTTATTGGCCATTACACTGACAATTTATCTCTACTTTTTAGTCAAATCATCATGCATTGACTAAATTATCTTAAGAAAAGCAAAATTTAAGACACATTGCTGCAGCAACACTCCATCCTGGAATAGTCACCTCAAGAGATGCCTCCTTGCAAGCCTTTGGGCCTTTCCATTCAGGCCTGATGATTCGTGTGGACTTGAATCAGCTCTAACAGTTTTAAATTCTTTAATCAGAGATAATTAATCAGGAATTGGTGTTTCCTTCCTTTTGTAGCTTAAGAGGATGCTTAGGTCACATGATTTATGTAGGGACTTCATGCAGCCACTGGGGTTTATATGCAATATACCTTGAGGGCTTACTTTAAATAAGTCTTAAGGGCTTAGATTGTACTATAAAGGCATGGAATCAGAACTAGATTAGGGAACAATATATTCAATATTAACATGTGGTGTCATAATGTAATTGAATTTGTCAAAAGAGGTGTTGTAACTATTTGCCCATTTTGTCTGTTGTCATCATCTTCTACAGCACCTGTTTTGTGTGTGTGTGTGTGTGTGTGTGAGAGAGAGAGAGAGGGGGGGGAGACACAGAGGAAGAGGGTGGGAGGAGAGAGACATTTTTTGAGACAGTCTTTGACTGAGTTCAGAACTCTATTTGGCTTGGTTAGCTGGTCAATTGAGCATGTTTCTGCCTTTCCCCCCATCACTGGCACAGAGGAAGAGGGTGGGAGGAGAGAGACATTTTTTGAGACAGTCTTTGACTGAGTTCAGAACTCTATTTGGCTTGGTTAGCTGGTCAATTGAGCATGTTTCTGCCTTTCCCCCCATCACTGGCACTGGGGCCCAGCCATACACCGGACACATTTACATGCATTCTGGGGATCAGAACTCAGATCTTTCTGCTTGTGAGGCAGGCACTTTACCAACAGAGCCCATCTCCCAAGTTCCCTACTCATCTTTTTAGTATCACAAACACACCAGTATTCAACATCCTACGAACCCTTTGTGGGTTTAGGCATAGATCGTTAGTTTTGTTATTAGATTTTTATTTAAAAATAAATCGACATTCCTAAGCCCTAATCATATAAGGACAAACTTACAAATATCCAATTTGATTTCCTAACTCCCAAAGATCCAATTTAATTCCCTTCAAGATTTTCTCTCTACCCCTTGGAATCAAATTCCTTTTATTCTCTTCACATAGCAGCCCCCAGTAGTACTTTTTCATATGTTTTTTATTTCATCTTCAGAAGTCAAGAAAGGAGATGTTAAAACAGGTAAAACATTTCCTCTAGGAGGTGCGATAGCAGCAGCATTTGAACCAAAGTCATGTTCTGCAGGGGCCTGTTCTGTGGAGCCCTCCTTGGTACTGATGGAGGACTTTAGGTGAAAATGGCTGTCCCACACTGCAGGAAGCTGCAATGAGATGTTGTGCTTTCCAAGATGCTCATGAGTTCTTGCCCTTGGGGCATGTTAAGAACATGCATACCATAGAAATGTCAAAACCAAGAGTGCATATGGTCTATAGAAACATTGAGGGCCTTATGTGTGAGTCACAGGACTATCATGAAACCTGACATAGCCATGAATTTATCCAGTGATGTCTAAGAACTGCCTGTACTCACTTAGGCTCTCCTAGCATGGCTGACACATAGGAAAAACCTTTTATTTCATCTTCCTGCTGCAACGTGGAAAAAGAACCAATCTCTTGTTCATTTATTAAAATGTAGGGCCTTATCTTTCATAAACAAACCATTTCAACTTCACTTTATTCAAGTCAAGCTGAGGTTGACTAAGTCAATGGAAATATGAGTCACAATTGTTGGCTTTGAAATCTCTACTCATCTATAGTTTCTCCTGCTGGCTGGTGACACGGGAGGTTCAAGTTCTGATTGAAGCACTGGTATAGCTAGCCCTGTGTCCTGGACAAGTCATTTAACCACTGTATGCTTCAACTCTCTCAAGTCCCATCCATAACACAAAGGCCAGATGATAAGTGAGAACTTTTTGTTCTTGTATCTATGTGGCTTCTCTGAGTATTAGCATAAGCAGCTATATAGCAAAAACCAACTGAACACATTTCAGAGAGTCTGGGAAAGCTTGGTTCTTGACTACATTAAGGTGTAGAACCCCATGGAAAAGAACAGAACTTTCATGGCTATGCCTGGCACCTACTTCAGTTCCAGAGTCCATCTCCTGGGAATGGGTGGAGACACGACCCAGTCCCTCGGTGGGAGTTCCAGCTGGGGAATGGCTCTGCTGCACAAGGTCTGGGAGGTTGATGTGACCTGCAAAGCCATTACTGTCACTGTGTCCAGATCGCTTCTTCTCTTCAGCCGTCTGAGGGGTATAACACAGAGAGCCCATTAGAGAGAGGGAACAAACTGAAGAATGATGTCACTCCACAAATTCTAGATGTAACGGGCTCCAAATTGATCTCCTGGGGAATATAGGATGGTATACAGATAAACACCTCTCCATAGACGCAATGGACTCCAAACTGACTTACTGGGGAGTATAGGATGGTAACACTGAAATTTGTACTTTGTCTAAGAAAACAAGACACTAAGAACTGTTAATATTTAGTAAGTGGATGTACTTTCAGGACTTATTCTACTGTATGAGGGATGCCACATGATGGAGGGCAGGGTCAGGAACCAGCTCTTCCAAATTTCTCTTCTGTGTCACGTGTGCATTATGTGTGAGTATCATTAGATAACTGGACTTACAGACCATATTGTCAGATTACATAGACACAATTGCTCAAATCCAGCTTAAAAGAAGCTGAAGAGAAATGATACCAATAACCCCCACCCCCGAAAAGCCTGTATTTCAAGAAAACTCACAGGGTTCTTTGGCATTCATAAAGTCAAAACAATGATTAATCAGATCTGATGGGAGTCCCAAATCACCGAAATGATCTAACGGATCATTTGAAAATAGGGACTTCCATCTTCCTCTTTGCTAGTGTTCACCCTTTCAGCAAATGACTGCTGCACCTTGTGATGTGGGCAAGAAAGAGATAGTCGTCATGACCGGAAAGGGACTTAAGCACTGTTTATGGCAATCCTTTTAAGCATCCTTTCAAGATAATTTATAATGTGGGGCTGGAAAGATGGCTCAGGGATTCAGAGTGCAAACTGCTCTTGCAAATGAACCATGCTCAGTTCCCAGCACCCACACTGGGTGGCTAACAATTGTCCGTAACTCAGCTCCAGGGGATCAAATGTCATCTGGACTCTAGGCACCTGCACTTAAGTGCACATACCCACGAGATTAAAAACAAAAATAATCTTTAAGAGGGTACTTTATAATGCATATGCTGATGCAGTGGGATAGAACTATGTTCAATGAATATGCTCTAAAATTATTATTGACAGGAGTGCATGAGTTAAATGTTTTTACTCTTCCAGAGATCAGCTTCCTCCCTAAATACAGGGGAAAAAAAGGATTAAAAAGAAACCCTTTATTGCCTAGCTTTGTAATCCCCCTTGCTCCTATCTAAGTGTAATTTAGCACTCACAGATCTACCATTTTCTATGTCTCTAACTCTCTGCCCCACCCAGTCTCTGGTGGACCTTTCTACTCTCAGCTTGTATGAGATCACTGCTGTAGTTTCCTGATATGAAAAGTCATGTGACACTATTTCACTAGATATAATGATCCCCAATACCATCATCTACCATGTCATAAATGACAGGATTTCACTATTCCTTATGGATAGCCAGCTTTGCATTTTGTGTGCAGACCACAGCTTCTTTATCATTTCTAAGGGGATGGATGCTTAGGTGGGGACCACAGATTCTTTATGATTTCAAGGTGATGGACACTTAGGTGGGGACCACAGATTCTTTATCCATTTCAAGGTGATGGACGCTTAGGTGGTTTCCACTTTCAGGCAGGTGTGAATTGTGCTGACATAGGAATGCAGGTGGTTTTTTTTTTTTTTTTTGACATATTGATTTCATTTGCTCTGGAAGGTCCCTAGTAGTGGGACCGCTGGATCACATGGTAGTTCTATTTTTAATTGTTAAATGACATCCCATCAAGAATATGCATAGTCCCTTTCTCCACATCTTTGCTGGAACATGCTACTTTCAGTCTTTTGAATATTATCCATTCTATTTTTTATTTTTATTTTGGTTTTGATTTGATCTCCATGACAACTAATAATTTTGATTATTTTTTCCATGTGCCCAGAGCCATTTGCACATGTTCTTTTAAGAAATCCTTACTGTTTATTTAAAAATTATTATTTTTCTGTGAGGTTTTTGAGTTTTTATATGTTGGAACATATATACTGGTGAGTATTTTTCCCCTGTTCTGTAGGTTGCCCCTGTTACTAACTATGCCCTTTGTTGTGCGTAGTTTTACACTTTGGATTTAGTACACAACTAGTTCACTAAGAATTCTTAGGGCAGACCCAAGCAGTGATTTCCCTCCTCCTTTTCATACTCCTGTCTCCTTTCCTACCGCATCTCTTAGCTCAGCATTGCCAAATGCCTACTAAATATGAAATGGTTTGCTTAACATAGAACAGCTGGGAACATCGCAAGTATGTTCCCCACTCTCTGGGGTTGGTATAGGGAAGAATACATGCTATTTCTTCAGCCACTTCACTGGCCCAGTGTGATATTTAGTATCATCAGCAACCCTGGGTGGGTCTGTGAGGGTGTTTCCAGAGAGCTTTGACTGAGGGAGGAAAGCCCACTCTGAATGTATCCTGGAAGACCAGTCTGAGACAATAGGAAAAGGAATAGGAAAGCCTGATGATCACCGCCCCACCCCCACTCTGTTTCCTGACTGTGAATGCCATGTAAACAGCCACCTCACCCTTCTGCCACCATGCCTTCCCGCCATGATACACTGTATTCCCTCATAATCCGAGCCAAACAAGCCCTTCCTTCCTTAAGTAGCTTTGCTCAGACATTCGGTCAGAATGAAGAGAAAGCAACCACTCTTGGCTTCCCCCAGACTCCGTACAGTGTATACAGTGTACAGTGTATGGCTTCCTCCAGACTGCACACAGTGTGTACAGTGTACAGAGTATGGCTTTCCCCAGACTCCGTACAGTGTATACAGTGTACAGTGTATGGCTTCCTCCAGACTGCACACAGTACGTACAGTGTACAGCGTATGGCTTCCTCCAGACTGCACACAGTGTGTACAGTGTACAGAGTATGGCTTCCTCCAGACTGCACACAGTGTGTACAGTGTACAGAGTATGGCTTCCTCCAGACTGCACACAGTGTGTACAGTGTACAGTGTATGGCTTGCCCCAGACTCCACACAGTGTGTACAGTGTACAGTGTATGGCTTGCCCCAGACTCCACACAGTGTGTACAGTGTACAGTGTATGGCTTGCCCCAGACTCCACACAGTGTGTACAGTGTACAGTGTATGGCTTGCCCCAGACTCCACACAGTGTGTACAGTGTACAGTGTATGGCTTCCTCCAGACTCCGTACAGTGTGTACAGTGTACAGAGTATGGCTTTCCCCAGACTTCACACAGTGTGTATAGTGTACAGTGTATGGCTTGACCCAGACTTCACACAGTGTGTATAAAGTACAGTGTACAGCATCCTCCAGATTCTGCACAGTGTATGGTTTCTGGCCTGTACTTGCCTCTGTCAGGAAACACACATAGCCACTTCTTTAGTGTGTATGAGACAAAACAGACTCCCAGGATCCCAAAGGGGTGTGATTCATCTATAAAGAAGCTTGAGAAATGACCAGAAAGCTTGGTGTCATCTGTTTCTTGGACTTCAAGTTGCCCCAGTGAGAGTCCTTTTCTCAATTCATTTTGTCACAGTGTTCACTGGGAGTCTCAAGGGTGCATATTCTCGGTGATGAACATTTCATCTTCTAAGTGACATTTTAGGAGCTCAGCTCTCATCCATCTTACTGTCCTTGCTTTTTATGTTTGCTAAACAGCTTTTCCCTCCTTCCAACTTCCATTCAGGACTGAAAAGCCTTTTGACATTTTCGCCCAATTTCCCCAAAGCATAAATCACACCTTGTCACTTTAGAATTTTTCAGTTTCTATTCTATCAGTGGCATTTTCTCCCAGGTCTTGAAATTGATGAAGATACGTATGCTGGTTATTAAGGGAAGACTTGAAGGGCTAGCTAGTGATGTATCTCAGAGACTGAAAAGCCAGGAGCAATGACCCTTAATCTACCCACATCTGAGTCATCATCTGGGTGCAACCGACTGGCATCCTCTCATGAAATGCCTTCTGTGTGCTGGGCCCTCTCCTGAGAACACAAAATAACTGAACCTTGTTAAGAGAATCTCAACCTCTCTGATTTTGATAGCTTCGCCATCCCCATGAGGATAGGCACAAACAAGTTCTGCATTCCAACATATGCCAGGTAGTGTGCTAAACACCCAGCACCAGGTGCCATCAAAGATTCCTCATTGGAGCACTGTGGGCTAGCTTTCAGTAGCCCCACCTTACAGATGGAAAAAGTACAGTATAAGATAGCCAATTAGCATTTCTGGAGGCTTTAAGCCCAGGTTGTGTGGTGGTGGAGTCCAGCAGCTCTTAGATGTGCTATTACATTGTGAGAGCTCTTACTGTGATAACTTATTGAACCAGGAGTGGAAATCTATGACAAGTAGGACCAAATTATTAATACAATTGAACATGAAGACCAATATTTGCCAGCAGCCAAACTGGGCTATGCTGAGGATCTTGGAGTGAGAAGAGATGGGAACACAAGTATGTGGAGGGGGAGAAAGCAGGTCTGTGGAGAGACAACAGAGGAAGGAGGAGGCAAGCAAAGGTAAGGAAGGGCAAGGAGATGTAGGCAGCAGAGTGCTCATGGCAGCCACCCAAGCCCTATCTTCTTTTAGCTTTAGATTCCACCCCTACACAGGTACACCGCTAATTTTGTCTTGGGTTCCTTCCATGGAATATGCATATAAATAGTTTGTGAATTTTAACTCTTCTTTGAGTGCTATCTACAACTCTCTCACTTTCCCTTTAAACTCTGTAAAATGAATTCTTTCTTTTTTATTTATAATAAAAAGAAGCTTCATGGCACAAACTAGTGTTCTCATTCATTTAGGAAGGTGGATAGATACTGGAGAGAACACGAATAGCTTCAGGAATGGGCTACAGAGGCCCATTGGGTCCCAGGAAAGGCTTCCAGAAGGGAAAACTAAGTCAGAAAAAAATGGGAAAGAGAAAAGCAAGATGGCATTTCCAGGAGATAGGCCACAGTAGACAAGATGGCCTGGAAGAGCTGATGTGGCTCACTCTAGCAGAGTAGAAAATAGTCCTGTGAAGTGTAAGATGAGATAGGGGAAAGATCCAGCAGCCAGGGTGTGCACCACAGGGGCAATTTTTATGTGACATAATCACAGGTAATATGGTCAATATAGTTGTCTAGAATTTTCTCTTCTTTCTTTCTTTCTTTCTTTCTTTCTTTCTTTCTTTCTTTCTCTCTTTTTTGGTTTTTCGAGACAGGGTTTCTCTGTATAGCTTTGGAGCCTATCCTGGCAATCACTCTGGAGATCAGGCTGGCCTTGAACTCACAGAGATCCACCTGCCTCTGCCTCCCAAGTGCTGGAATTAAAGGCATGTGCCACCAATGCCTGGCTTAGAATTTTCTCTTCTACTCACACAAGATGAATTGGGTGAGTTCCTGATGGCCACTCCAAGGAAGTGAACTCGCAGTATCCTATAGGCTAAATCTTGTCATAATAAGATAACATTTAAGTTTTAAATTTTTATTTTTTTACTGTAGCCTGAATTCATTTTTAAAATACATGTGTTTTTAATGTTTTTTTTTTACATTAAGACTCATTTGATGGTTAATTGTATGTGCCACCTTAACTGAGCCACGAGGTGCACAGATTAAATATTATTTCTGAGTATGTCTGTCACTTTGCTTCTGAGCATAAAAGAGACAGACTTTTGAGTTGGTGAAGTTGGTAGGTAGATTATCATTCCCAAATTATGTTAATAAGAACCTTGAGGAAACATAATAAAACTAAAGGTAGAAGAAGAAAACTGTTTAAAGTAAAAGTTGTGTGTGACGTGTGTGGGTGTATTTGTGAATGTGGGCCCACATGCCACGGCATGCCTACAGAGATCAAAGGATTGCCATGGATGTTGGTTCTCTCCTTCCAGACTAATCAGACAGTCTCGCTGGTCAGTATTGTGTAGTCCAGGCTAGCTGAACTACAAGCCTCTGAAGTCCTCCTGGCCCTGCCTCTCATTTCGTCATAGAAACACTGGGATTAGATATGCATGCTATCAGCCATGGCTTTACATGGCTTCTGGTGTTTCAGATCCAGGTCCTCATGCTTGTGTGGCCAGTGTTCTTGATCCACTGAGCCATCCCCACAGCTTGTGACTTGCCAACTCCAAGTCCCTGCCCAGTAATTGAGTTGGGACATCTCATCTTTACCCACTTCTGCACTGGGAAGCCATACTATGACAGGTGCAGGGGTCATTAGATTTCTTGTCCTTTATAATCACAAAAACCACCTCCCTATAACCCCCCTCTCTCTTTCTATCTCTCCCTCCCTCTGTTGTATCTTGATTAAAATGGTTTGTGTGATTAAGACTCCATGCTTTGGGGCTTTGGGGCTTAGGTGGTAAAGTGCTAGTCTTGAAACCCTGAATACCCATTAAATCCCCAAGACTGATGGAATTCCAGAGTTTGGGAGGCAGAGACAGGTGACCTCTGGGATTGCTGGCCAGACAGCTTAGCTTATTTGGTGAGCCCCAGGCCAGTGAGAGACCTTGTCTCAATAAAGAAAGATGTGGATGGCACTTGGGGAAAGATACGCAAGGCAGTCCCCTGGCCTCAACATGTATTTGTACACATGTGCACATACCTACATGCACACACAATAAAAATAAAATTAAAACCTATGTTTGGTAAAAGTGGAATTTGGAAACCGAGAGGACAAATGGTCTGAAGGCCACTCAGCAGATAAATTTCAGGCAAGACACAGGTGCATATAATTTTGAAAGTGCTGGTGGTTGTGGTCATCAAATTCTGGGAGCTTCGAATAATGTGGAATCATTGGGTATGGTTGGCAACAGAAATGAATGTGTGGCTCTAAATGTCTCCCTGGCGATACTGACTCTTGTAAAGACCCAACATGTAGGGAATGAGCTGTTTCCATTTGGAGTCAGAGTAACTCACTCTAGAACACTCTGTGTGAAGCTCTGATAGAAACCCTCTACCTTTATTAAAATAACCCTGCATGGTTCCGGGAGCTTTATACACCAGCAGCACACAATTCTGGCACTGCCAGCCAAGTCCATTCTTCATCAGTCATTCGTGAAAGCATTCTTTAAAGTCTACTTGAAAGATTCGACATGGGCATAAAATAAAATCCTAGCAAGTTGCTGTGCGAGCTAGTCGTCTAGTTATAGTCTCACTGCCAATTTTACTTCAAAGGACTTATTCATCTCCAAACTACACTTTCTTTCTTCCGTACTAAAGCAAGAGGCCCTCTGACTTTCTGGAGAGCAAAGTCTGTGAATGGAGTTTCCTAGCCCTAGCCTATCCTGTTTGAAGAGAGAGAATGACCATGCTATCTATTTATGTTTTAGAGGAATCATCGAATTGGTTTAAGAAGCAAGAGGAGACTGGAGGTTTTGATGATAATAGTTATCCTTTATCAAATACCCAAATTTACTAAGTAACCCATATCATGTTGTCAATCATGCTATGAAACATTTGGTATCATTTATGAAGTGTGTGTGTGTGTGTGTGTGTGTGTGTGTGTGTGTGTGTGTGTGTCTGAAATTGATGCAGGGTAACTTTTGATCTCTCTCCTTTTTGTTAACTATGGCAGGATCTCTCTCCTGACTCAGAGCTGGTCAACTCTGGCTAGTCTAAGTAACCAGCCTGCCCTAGGATTCTCTTTCTCTGACTCCTGAGTGCTGAGATTTCAAGTGGCTGACACACCTGTGTGTGTGTGTGTGTGTGTGCTCTGGGGATATAAAATTCTTGTCTTCATACTTGTGTGGCAGGCACTTTATGCACTGAGCTATCTCTGTAACCCATTTCTGAAGTTTTACAGAGAATGAAACAGATGTAGGGAAAGATGTGGTAATATCTCCCAATGTTACTTGCCTATAATTTTCTTCTCAAACTTGCATGCAATGAAAAGAGAAGATGGGTTCTAATTTCTTGGGGGCATTTCAGGGTGACAAAGCTACCACGGGGGACACAGTGGAAGGACAGGTGAAAGGGAACATGTGCTTCCTACCAAATGAAATCATGTTCCCAGATTTAATAAACAACAACAAAAAATCCTTTTTAAGGGCTGGAGAGATGACTTGGTATTAAGAGCACTGGCTGTTCTTCCAGAGGATCTGGATTCCATTCCCAGCATCCACATGGCAGCTCACAACTGCCTGCAACCCTAGGCCCAGGGGATCCAATGTCCTCTCTGGTCTCTGTAGACATTAGATATGCACACAGCACACAGACATACATGCAGGCACAATACACATACATATGAAAAATAACTAAATTTAAATATGAAAAATTAAATCCCTCAAAAATCAAAGATGAAAATAAATGGCAAAGGTATGCTTCTTAGTTGATTTTTGTGTTCTCTAGCCCCAATTGCTTACTGTTTTTTTAAAAAATGTTAATTTAATGAGACGCAAAGATAGCATATTTTCTTGGAACCACTGAGCATTTTATATGAAATGAATAAGGGTGAAACCATGAGGGAAGAGGCTTACAAAACTACCGTTTCTATCAAGAGAAGGCTGTCATTTCTGTTTTCCCAGTGTTGGGAACATCTGTGTTTTCCACTTTTATGTCCTCAGGCTCAGATTTTATACTCTGATTTGCATAGCTCCTGTTGAAGAATTGGGCCTAATGTAATTAAGTCGCTCTGCAGAAACTTGGGAGGACACAGAGAAGAAGATGGTAGACAGTTAAAACCACTCAATCACTTAGAAGAACAGGTTCTTAGCCTCCCCTAGCCAGCACACTTATGATGTATGCTCTAAAGATTCTGTGTCAAATCTTGAATAGAAAACCATGTAAGGACTGTGCTTCCTTTTAATGGCTTTACACCAGCTCACCTCTCTGATCATCAAGGTTCCTTCTCTGGAAATGCTGCCGCCAAAGGTGTCTGCATGCGAAGTCTCCAGCCCATGTGTCCCGACCATTCCCACGTTGTACTGCTCGTTGCTCCCTGGAGCTCCTGTTGGTCTGAGATGAGAAGGAACAGCAGTCATACAGCAAAGTGCAAACTCATTTTAAATGAAATGCCACAAAATGTAAATGCCATTTCTTATTGCAGCAAAATGCACATGACATAACATTTGCCATTTATACTATTTGTGTGATTATTGCAGTGACTTTAGATTGGCATTTCTACTTCTGCAGGATCTTGACCTATATTGCACCCTATTCTCAACTCAGACTATGAGTGCTTCCTGCTCTTCAAGAAAAAAAATTGATGCAGTCAGCATCCAGGCTTATGAGGCACTACATGAGTCCCCAGCCCCATGACCTTCTGTGACAAATGGCTACCCTGACCTACTTTTGCACTTGCTATATCCTCTCCTTGGCTCTTGTCTGGCTTCTTCTAATTCCTCTATTTTTATTCCAAGGGACCAATACAGTCTAGAACACAATCTCAAGACCCTTTTCCAATCCCTCTAGCCTTCACTGTTCTTATTGCCATTTGTGATTCCTTTGTTGAAGATGCATGTGTGTGCATATTCAGGGTGTGGGAAGCATATCATGTGGAAGGGGCTGGAGTTGGTTTTCATCCTAAAGAAAGTAATCTACTTCCTTTGAGACACAGTCTCTTTTGATCTGGAACTCACCAATTAGTCTGGGATGGTTGGTCAGTGAGCCTGAAGGATCTTCCTGTCTCTTGTCATTCAAGAAGAAGGATTAAAATCACTTGCAACCATGCCTGGCATTTTTACATGGGTTCTGGGAATTGAACCCAGGTCCTCATGCTCTCAAGCAAACATTTTACTGACTGACCCATAACTTTGGTCCCTGAGATTTTCAGTTCTTTAGCCTGTTATCTCTTCATTTCCTCCTTCTTCATTTGAACACATGATCGTCTTTTTGCTTATCAGTACACACTCAGGTCAGTACCAACCTGATTTATCCATGTTCTGTGACCAAAAATGTGTGATATCTTTAGCAAAAGGTCTTGCCATCAAGTTCTGTTGGGGATCAAAAGCAATGGCAATGTTTGGGTGGGGTTTCTGATCAACAACTTGTAGGGAGGTAGCCTACACCTGAGCTTCTTATTTGATAACCTGTGGCTTCTGGGAAGTGCATTAAAATTCATATGCTATATACACATACATTCATATGATATGTATAAATTGATATCCCACATATATGAGGTTCATGAAATAGTAGATGTCCATGCTTTTTTCAATCTAGGCAATATAACCTAGTTTGTAGCATAGAGCATAAAAACCGATCATTGGATAAATGGGGGTTGTGCTATTTATAATGGCAGCTAACTGGATGATCCATGAGCTAGGCGGTCAGATCAAACAGTATTCAGCACTTTCCTAACATCTCTATATGCAGCCTGTACTGATGTACATCATTCCCAGGTTTCTCTTGCTATTGTGTTATGTATTTCCTAGAGATCAGCGATAATCTGAAGATGTAATGACATATTTACCCAGGAATCACCAGATCTATGCTAGCAGACACATGGGAGAACTTTCAAGGGTAAGGTGACAGAGCACACAGTTAGTATAGGGAGGGGTGACAACCAATGTTATTTCCCATGTGCCCTGAGCCACACAGAGAAAGTACTAGTGCTCAACAAGGGGAAGACCATTACATCTGAGCTTCACTCTGATGATCAAAAATCTAAGTATTCTCTGTCCCTTGCACCCAAATTGTCTGGTTTAAAGTTTGGAAAGTGGAGAACAACCAAGCAGATGCTGTGGTTGTGGGATTGCAAGGTTTAGGGTTTCATTGTTACAGATTCCTTTCTGCTGTTTTAGCAATGGGCTATGTTGAAAATGTGTTTTTAAAATGAGAAATGGTATCAAGAAAATATTTATGTTTTGGAGAACATTTATCATTTTAGTCTCTTAATTCTTTTTATGTATTTAAAACTCATCAATGATTTCTGGGTTTGATGGCACATGTCTTTAATCCCAGGTTTCAAGAGGAAGAGGCTGATGAAGTCCATGAGTTGAAGACTCAGCCTGATCTACATAAGAGATACTGTCTCAAAATAAAATAAAATAAAATAAAATAAAATAAAATAAAATAAAGACACCACCAGTTGACATGCCAGTGTCAACAGGGAAAACCCCACAGGGCACCTCCCCTAGATGAAGAATATAGGCAATTAATAGCTGCTAAGAGGGGAGATTAGTCTTCCCCAGGGGTTAATCATCTAATTGGTTATCTAATACCAAGTGGTCAGTCTTAAAAACATCATACAAATGACACTAGACAGACTCAGCAGACTAGATTCATATATTAATTCACATATATATTTAACAAGGAAAAAAAACTATGGATTTAAGAGAGCATGGGGAGGGGGTATGGAAGGGGTCAAAGGGGGACAAATAATATAATTAAATTTTAATTAAAAATAAAATAAACTATAGCATACAAAAAACAATCACCATCATCACCAAGACCTGTCTTCAGTTTCTTAATATGATGATAGTCTGAAGATGTAATAAAATCTTCACTCCAAGACCAAGAAATACACCAGGTGTGCGCTAACAGGCACACTGCCAGAAACTTTCTAAGGATGAGGGAAGTAGCTGAAGTAGCAGAGTGCTTGAAGTCTGGAGTTTGAACCCCAGCAATGGAAAAGGATTCTCATCCAAAATGGAGAAGCAAAATGATGAGAGTAAAATCAGATACGAAAATGTACAGTGAGGGTAAAATCAGATAAGAAAACGTACAGTGAGGGTAAAATCAGATAAGAAAATGTACAGTGAGGGTAAAATCAGATAAGAAAATGTACAGTGAGGGCAAAATCAGATACGAAAATGTACAGTGAGGGTAAAATCAGATATGAAAACGTACAGTGAGGGTAAAAATCAGATACGAAAATGTCCAGTGAGAGTAAAATCAGATATGAAAATGTACAGTGAAGCCTATATTTCAAAGTTCCTCTCTTGGAGCAAAGGACTGAATGGACTCAATTATGGATAAGAATTGATGTTCGTGATAAAAAAAATTCAAAAGCCTACTTTCAATGTCACCATTTCTGTCCCAGAAAGTAGCTATTAGTATTAACAGTGTTCCCAAACATGGGAAAGCCATTGTTGTGGTCATTTCTGGCATATCAATAGATTGGTAAGTCAAGTAGATTTCAAAACAAATGCTTCTTCCCTTATTCTTTGGAATTTAATCTTATCCATGTTGTTCCTTTTTTTATGGGACTTAAATTCCTGTTTCAGAGAAGACGGCACGAACCCAATAGACCAATCTGTCAAGTGTCCATCAGGCATTCTCTGCTGTTACCACAGGCTTGGGCTGAGATTGGGGACCACTGCCAGGCTGGCACTTTCGGGTCATCGTCTCCATTATCTATCACAGTCTCATTTCTTTTTAAATTCTTTGGTAATGTTCTCACTTTATTCAAACATTTTAATTAGAAAAAGGATGGATTTGGATACATCTTCATTAGAAAGAGTTTTAAAAACCTACTTCCAGCAAGAAAAGTTCTCAATGAACTCCCTATCCATTTAGTTAATCCTTTCCCATTTTTCATTATTACCTTAGTAAAATAACTATCAATGGTCTATTTCTTTCCCATGTAAATTTCATAGCAAAGACCTAATCCAATAATGCTGTTGTCAATAATCTCTAAATGCTTATGTGGTCACTTCTATCAAGTCCATTTTTTCTGGGTCTATTTTAAAGGTTTAAATTTTACTGAAATGTTTATGTGTTAGTTATTAGCCAATAGCAGATATTACTATGCATACCATTCCCCACTGTTTATTTTATTTTTTTATTGGAATAACAAACAAGATTGAATTACATGACAATCCCAGTTCCCTTCTTCCTCCCTTCCTCCCCTATGACCTCCCAACTAAAACCCTACCTATCACATACCCTTTCTTCTAATCTACACCTGACTCAACCTTTCTGCTCCCTCATGACCTCTACATCCTTCCTTTTCTTCCCTTCTCATTTTTGTAGCTCCCTCCCCCATCTTCCCATGTCCTCAATTTGCTCAGTTTATTTTAATATTTGCTAAATATTTTCAACTAAGACTACATTTTTTTTTTGCTTGTGTCAATTTTTATACTTTGGCTTTTCTGAGACAGCACTGCCTCATCTGTTATGAATTTTAGACTGTTTCAAGTTATATTTTACATTATTTTAATCAGCAATATTCCCTATAGATGGTATAAAAGGCAGCATGTATTTATTTCTTAGTTAATTTGCTTCTAATACAGTAAGCAACTCCTCTTAGCTAGCCCAAGACAGCCCTGCTACATAGGATCATTTGATTACGAACATTTTCTATATGTATTTTTAAGTTCTTGCCTCTTATATTGTCTCTACATGCGCTATGCCACCACCATGTATTCAACATAATGTAATGGCTTTTGATTGCAGAAAATTTCCAAGACTCCCTACCTACTCAAATCACCTCCCTACACATTCCTTTTCAAAGGGTAAAGCTCAGCCCACGGTTCCCAGCCAGGGGTTGAGGACCCTGTTTCAACACAGCAGGCTAGAGGCTATGTCGCTTATTTGTCCTGTTCCCTGCCCCTTCTCTGGTCTTCCTTTTCCTTTGCTATTCTGTGCCCACTCCTTTGTGTCCATTTTCTTCTTAACTGCAAGAAGAAAAGAACTGTACTCTGTCTCATTTTGTACAATCTTTTAGCAGGTTCTAATCTAGTGTCTTGATATTATGATCACATTTATCCTGCAATAATAAATAAATACATCTAAACTCTTTATTCAGCCACTTACTTTTTCTGCTTCCAGTTGAATATTTATGTATTGTGTGGCAGTTGAGGTCATGACCTTCCTTGTGTAGTATTTATTTGGATGAATAACATCAAAACTATTAGTTTATTGTGTTTACCATTCTGGACCCCTTTCGTTCATTCTCCCCTATGATCAATTAGGCACTTCCTATTGTGCTTTCTAAACACATCTCAAATATTTTCTGTTCTTTTTTCAAAAGTGACTCAATGAGGCTGGCATCCTCTTTCACTAATGGCAGTCTT